AATTCAAGGTATGTTTAATATGAGTTTTATTATTCAATGTGGCCTCAGTTTCCCCAAGTCACTTGGAGCCCTCTAGTAGCCTACTGAGACCTGTTTAGGCACCTTGAATGCCCCATCAGTCACCTCTCTCACTCTTGCTTGCCACAACTTTTCTGTTACTAGGAGTGTTTGGGAAGATACCTTCTGATAACCAGAGCATGGCTTGAAGTGTCCAGCTCCACTCTGCACTATACACTGGGCTCCCTCTCTCCTTGGCTTAGTCCACAGGCTCTTTTTGTCCTTTGTACAGCACTCAGGGGGCCCACACCATCTGCACTAGCTCACAGGCTTCCAACAGCCTGCCCAGTAGTGGGATCTAAGCTCCACTGTGGGGAGTCTTCAGTGGCCTATTTTTCTCCCCTTCAGCCACTCCTATGCCTCCTGGCCTTGCAATCAGTCCACAACAAACAAAATAAACTTTCCCCACTTATTTTTAGGCAGTCGCTCACAGTAGCTCCTTCCAGCCAGGGCTGATAGACTGCCTAGCATCCTGAGTCCACAAACTCAGCATTCTCCAGTGCCTGTGAAGCACCTACTCCCCAGGGTATATCAAATCCTACTTCTGTTGAAGCCAGACACCTAAGGCTCCAACCCCCAGGCCTGGCTTATAGGAGTCTCTGTTCCATCCCTTCCTGGCCATCTGACCCAACGTTCCTTAAACAGCAATCAGTGGCTCCCTATTAGCCTAATTAACAGGCCTGCTGCTACTCTTCCTGTAGTGAACTGCTCAGGGTTTGGCTCCTGCAGCTTGCCAATTTAACCCTTTGGTTACTGCAGCTCTCAATTCTGCTGCTTGATGCCATCCTCTTGCAGGATTTGGGTAGTGCCTCTCAACTTACTGGAGTCTTGACTGCCACTTCTCCCACAACTCTGGGCCTGGCAGTGGCCTCTCCATAGTCTGAAGACTTATGTCCCCTGTGGGGTGCTCTTGAAGGTACAGTGTCTCTGGGCTTTCCCATTTTAGTAACAGGCGCCCTGTTACAGTGATGTTGAGGCTTGTAGCAAGTATCACCAGCAACTATAGAATTCAAGCTTTGATTTAAAGGTACAATGCTTATGGTTGTAGAGTTGACTGTCTGAACATGAACCAAGTATAATCATCGCCATCTAAAGAGACAGGGCTGTGTGCCTCTGTTCCTAGTTGGCGCACTGAGCAATTCACACTCAAAGGCAGACTCCCCATTCCCCAGTTACTAAGGAGAAGAGCCTGCAGGGACAGGCACAGAGGTCTCAAGAGTGGACTGTGTTTGTATTACCTCATGCAACATACCTGAAGGCATACACAACATACATGCGTTTCCACTGCTGCTGGAACTGCCTTGTATGCTCCTTGAGGTAGAGACCCCATCTTATTATACTTTGGTTGTACTGCAGTAGTGCCTAGGAGTCCTTGCCATAGACCAGGCACCTACTGTGTCAAGTGCTGTGCAGTCCAGAGATCTCTCTAAATTTCCATAGCATGTCTGGTTAGAAGGGGCCAGTACATCTTCAGATGTCCTTTATATCATAGTTCATTAATTCTGTCCAGTTATCCCTGTGTCCAGTCTGCTACTTATTTGGCTAACAAAGTTACTTTGCTCCATGTATGATGCTTTACATTAGGGCTGTTCAACACACTGCCTGCAGCCACAGCTGCACCCACAGTTAGGGTCTCCAGGCTGCTCTCTCTCAGCCCAGGGAGCTGTCAGGGGTAGGTAGGTGACTGTGTACAGTGCTCAGAGGGGGGTGCTGCATGCAGCACAGTGCAGCAGGTTGGGGCACCTGCGTGCATGACCCACAGGGAGGCATGGCGTGGCATGGTATGTAGCCCCAGCCACTTAGAAGTTGGACAGTCCTGCTCTATAAATAATAGCTCCAAAGAAATTAAAATGTTTAACCATTTAGTTCAAATGCTTTTTTCTGGATACTTCAATTTCAAAATAATAAAAATTTAGAGCAAGCACTTTCTTTGTTACTAGGCAGGACTAGATTATGCATGCATGCATACACCACATAAACACATGCTTCCAGGATACACATTGCCACTATGTGATGCAGGCATGCCTCTTGTGTGTTCCTCATATCTGCTTTAGAAGCAAGAAATTATGTTTAATTTAGGATTTCACAAACACACACCCATATACATAACGGGCATATTAAATGCCATGTCTCCTCCTGCTTTTGCTAAACTGATGCTGGATAAGCATACCCTAATGATTACTAGCTTTTTAAAGATTTTAATAGTCTTTTAATGAGTATATGATTGGACTTCCTGCAAGAACAAGTTTATTAGCAATGCATTCTTGAATAAAATGGATTCTGGACTCTCTGCCAGGTTCCACCCCCCTTGTTTTCATTGCCTTTTTGTTCACCAGATTTCCATACAAATGCTTTTTATACCCTCAGATCACCACAGAAGTACAAGTGATGACAACCATGCTGATTCCTTGGCCTTGCAAGGCTGCAGTTTGCTTTTACACTTGTCCTTCCCAATTTCCTTCATTCTTTAATATGGTCTAAGGCTTTTTCAGTGGGTGACAAAGTTATCATTGTAGGGACATCTTCCCTAACGTGAAATGCTTCCTTTGGACATGCAGGCAGTTTCATGTGATCCACAGGTGACAGTTATGATACAGATTGACTAAAAAAAGATACTAGTGTGTCCCACAGATTCTTCCTTTTAAGCAGCACAGAATAGTTAAAGAGAAAAAAGGATTTTGCTCTTTTCCTGACTCATTGTCATTCAGTTCACTGCAGCACCTCAAAATTTGCAAACAATAGCGTCTACTGGTTTCCCAACAAAATCAAGTGGGTCAGAATTTTAATGATTTCCTCCTTTCTCTTTGAGTTAGATTCATAATAGGTGTTAGGATTTAGAACTCATTGTTACAGTTGCCATTCTCTTTATTATAATCTTCAGAATGGAATTGGATTTTTATAAGCTTCTTCAGATAATTGTTACAGGAGGAGCTGGCCAAGCAAAGGATGCTTAGTATGGACCATGGTAGAGCAGGGGTGGGCAAAAATATGGCACACTGGCTGCATCCAGCCTGCCAAGTGGTTTCACCCAACCTATGGATGGGTGTCTACTAATTCACTCCATCTGGCCTGGCCCCAGTCTGCCCCTCCTGTGTTTACATGGGGCAGGGGCAGCATGTATTGTGCTCCCATTTTTGCTTGTGGGATGGCCTTGACCCCAGTCCTGCAGGTAGGGAAGTGGTGGGGGAGGGGGAGAAAATGGTGGCAGGAAGGGGAAGGGGGAAGCTGGCAGCAGTGGCGGTAGGACTGGCAGCTTGCAGGTGAGGGGGTGGGTGGCTGCAGCAGTGGTAGGTAGGTGCACGGGAAGGAAAGTAGGGAAACAGCAGAGAAAGGGTGGCAGCAGTGGTGAAGTGGTAGTGGTGGGTGAGAGCAAAGCAGCAGCTAGGCAGGAGCATAGGCCCCAAGTCAGTGGCCCGGGGCTGGGCCAGCAGGGACCCAGGGTGGGGCAGCAGGACCATGGAGCCCAGGCACAGGGTCTACCTGGCTTCATAGTGTGAATTTCACATGCAGTCCACCCAAACCACGCACCTCTGGGGAGATCCCTGCGCGATAGAGCTGGTGGCCAGCCCTGCCTGCTGCTATGTTCAGGTCAGGGGGAACAGCGGGGAGTTCTGCGTTATGGGGCTGGGCTGGCTCCACCCCTTTCCCTGCCGCCTTGGCCAAGCCCCATGACCTGCACCGCCAGCTTTATTGTGCAGGGCTTGGTGGGGCTGGACCTGCACACTGCCACCATGTGCAGCTTCAGTGGCTGGGACCCCACATACACTCATTCCCATCTCAGCCACATACCCCACACCCCACCAAATACAATATACAAGAGTAAGACCGTATTTTGAGCTTTTATGCAATTGCCTTTAGATAGACTATGCAAACACATAGATCAGTACAAACATATTTTTAAAATAAAATTAAAATAAGTTATAGTAAATGTTTGATTTTTTACTATATGATTTGTTTTTTTTATTTCCACTTGCAAGATGGCAGCACCTTCCCTCCCAAAGGAATACTTCCAGGGCAAGGGGAGGGACTTCTGTTGGCAAAGGTTAGGGGTTAGAGGTGGGACTTCTGGTCCCAAGATGGCAGTCAGGAAGTGGGGCACCCATCAAGGGACAGGGCTACCTTTGTGGCCCTCGACAGCTCACCAGAACTCATTAAGCAGCCCTCTAGCCAAAGTAATTGCCCGCCTCTGTGGTAGAAGGTGTTTTGCGACTGTTGCACCTGTTCTGATCACTTGCAGAGATTTTTCTTGAGTCTACATGTGGGGTTGAGCCAGAACCATAGGTGTGGCTTCATCTCTCTCTCTTGTTGTTAGGAATGTAAAGGAATGAGCTGGCCAGAGAAGAAGAGGATGAGTTTATAACCCAGAACAGTTAAGCAAATTTTGTTTCCTCCTATTCCCTGCCCTGCCTTTCAAATTTTTCATTTGGGCAGATTGAAGAGGACAAGCACCTTGTCCTCTTCATTCATGCTGCTTGGCCAGTGTGGTTTTTTCCAGTTTAGGATATCCATGTGAACCCTTTCAGACAGGGAGAGTCTGTACATCACCTACCACACAAGGCCTCATGGAATCATGATGCACAACTTCCTCTTCCAAGGCAGCAGAAGGAGTGCAATGTGACAGACTAAAACACACTGCACTTGCGGGTCCCTCGTGCTGCCTTCAGGACAGGGATTGTAGTAAGCATAGAATTCAGACTCTGGTTCCTAACCACAGGGCCTCATAGTATTCAGTTAGTACTGCTTTTCTCACTTTCAGCTTCATGTTCTTGAAACCATCAATTAGCCTAATGATTCTACTGATGTAATATTGCAGCTGTAGAGAACAGTTGAGATCAGTGCCTTTCATCTTGAATAAATATGAATATCTGTTTTTTATTGGTGTTGAGACATGTCTTTCAGTTATCCTCCCTCCTTATCTGACCATACTATTTTTCCCTTCTCAGAGAGGAAGATGAGGAAAGCCCCTATGCAACTTCTTCCTATCAGCAGTAGAAGACAGACACATGGTGACCTGGAAACCTGGAATGAAAATACAGTTCTTAAACTAAACAGCTGATTACTCTGAAGCAAGTTGTTTAGACTGAGCATCGCCATGTGCTTTTTACAAGTCTCAATTGGGTCATTTCACTGATTGTAATTGCACTGAAAATTTGACCTCTGCCTTCCATAGGTAAATGTCCTTATACTATATCAAAAAAGGATTTTAAGCCTTTTAAAACTAGCAATTGCCTTTGTATCCCTTCTGTGCAAATTGTAGCATGGTAGCAACAATATATCCTTAAGGTCACCTTTATGCAGGACATATCAATCTTTAGTACATATTTTGTAAATACTTCCTCAGATAAAGTGTGCGATATTGAATTAATTGTAAGTTCTGCTTGTCAGTGGAAACCATATAAAAAAGTGACTGAGATGTCACAGTCTCGATTCAGCAGTCTTAGTGCAGACGTTTGCTGTGGAAGGTCTTGCCCCTTGCCATGCCAGGGGCTCCCAAAGCGGTCCTTGAATCGTGTCTGTATGGATGCATGTGTGTATATAAACAGCATCCATGCGTTTCAGAAATGATGAGTTTGACCCATGTTGAATGGGTGAGAAAGCCTTTATCAGCAGATAAACTATTTAAGTTTGAAATCTTGACTTTTTGGAAATAAAAGGGAAAAAGTTATAGTAAAAAAAAATAAATATTTTTCTTTGTGAGATAGTGATTTGGCATATGAATGTGTGTTGTGTGCAATTATAAGTTGTGTACTTTTAGTTTAATAAATACAAAAAGATCATATAAATAATGTCTGTTATTCATATTGCAACCTGTCTGATTTCTACTAGAGATCATGCTGAGCAAAGCCATTTGCAGATGTATCTCAGCTTTAAATGTTAGTTCAAAGCAAAGAGCAAGTGCCTGTTATTGCACTATAAAGTATAAAATCATCTGCCAGAAAAACCACACAGGTTTTCCCCTAAATTATTTTCATTTTGCACAGGAAGTGAAGATAAGCAGAGTCCCACATCTCAATTTCCTGGGGACTTTTGCATTCTTTGGAGGCCTGCAAACAAGACAGAAGAGAATGAAAGCCTTTAAACTACTTCATTTTAGTTGATCTATTTTAGGACTTTTTTTTTGTACTGAGAACTACATTGTCCCTATTCTTGTCCCCCTCTGGATGGGTTAGCTAGGAAATCCACATTCTAAGCAAGCTGGTCACCATACCAACATTTTTTTATCTCACAGGGCAAGTTCTGGACGTTTGCCCAAAGTCCATTTCCTTAAACTTTATGTTTGTTCACAGAACTGCACAGAGACGATTCTTTTCCTATACCAAGAACACAGCCTCCCAGAATACCCTCAAGCGCTGCCTACTCAACCTCCTGCCATATGCAAGAGGCTACCTCCTGCCATTTTTTCCCCCCCTGTCTTTAAGTACCCTCTCTGCTACCACACAGCACTGATCTATAATGAGCAAGAGTTGGGGGTCCCCTTTGCCTGCTCACCTTGTCCAGTACAGAACTGTTATGACACTACATATACGAGTCACCTTTGGTCATTGGGGATGGGGAAAGAGCCATTAGGCAATAGAGTTAAACCAAGTAGGAAAAAAGGGCCAAGATTTGAGAAGTGTGAAACACCAAAGATTAGGGCAATAGGGACATTTTGGACACTTTCAGAAGACTGTAGAAATCAAAGGTTAGGAGTTGATGTGAACGAGGACCAGGAGCTATGCTATAGAGTGACTTGAATATCTAAAAAAGGGGCAGGCAATTATTTTGGACAGACGGCTGCTTACTGAGTTTCGGCAAGCCATTGAGGGCCGCATGACAGGCAGCCCAGGGGAGATTAATATTAATTTTCTAAATTTTTTAGGGGCCTCACAGGCTGGATAGAATGGCCTGGCAGGCCGCATCTGGCCCCCAGGCTGCATTTTGCCTACCCCTGATCTAAATCATTTAAGTAGATGCTGGGTAACTTTCAGTTTTAAAGAAGTTTCAAAGCACTGGAAAGAGAGGACGTGTTGTCAATATTGGTTTACCACATAATTCAAATCAAAGGACTTGTTCTATTTTAGTACCAGGCCATTGCTGGGAGGAGATGGTTAATAACATCAGTCTTGCATGCAGAAATGGAGCCTGCAATAAGACTAAACATGCCTTCACTTCTCCCTCTAAGCACTTGCTTTTCAGCTTGGCAAAGCTTTATTTCAAATAGGCAAACATGCAAGTTAGGAAAGCTAGCTGGACTTGTGAGAGTCAGTATGTAAATTATGGGCATATTTATGTTAGTGCCAGGCAGAGACCAAGCTTGAGGGTTTTTTTTTTTTAAAAGATCGCTTTGTAAGACTTGCTTGATAATAGGATCATCAGGAGCAAGGATGCTGTTACTACTCAACATGTGGTTAAGAAAATTAGGTAGATAAGTGAACAGCAAGAATAGAAACAGCAACCAAACTGTCAGGTTCCAGGAAAGGTGATGATTGCATTGTTTTCCCCACAGTAAAAGAGTTTCAGATGTCTGAGCACATAACTCCCTAGAGACAGTGCTAGAATTGATCCAGCTTTTAGAGCTGCCCACAGCTCCACGTCTAGGCTAAGCAGTAATATAGTTCACAGCTTGAAGGGTTTTTCCTTCTGTGACTGATGATTAGCAGGCATCTGGGTTTTCCGTTCCCCATGGAAAAATAGAGTAAACCTTGGGTTTTATCTTTTAGCAGAGGCAAACGTGGATTTCTTGTTTTTACCAGAGAAACCCATGGATTTTGCAGTTTTGCAAAGAGATCTCTGCAGGCCATGTTCTTTGGGGTGCTAGGTTGCACATGCTGGTCTGCAGAGGCCCTGGGGGAGGGTAGCAGGGCAGGAGCCTGAACCTGAAGCAGGCAGCTTGCAACCCCTGCCCCACATACAGATCTGGGGGGCATGGGTCTCCCCTGTTTTTCCCCCAGGAGTGCAAACTGTGGCAGGGAGCAGGTCTGAACTACCCAAGCCTACAGTGGGCAGGCAGCGGGGCCAAGGCCAAGACTACAAAATCCAATGTAACCAATCCCAAACATTCAGCAAAAACCTATTTATTTTTATTTATTAATTTATTTTAAAAGACAACAAGAGACATCCAAGTTCTTTCTCATTTGTTCTCAGTATTTTAAGAAGGACTTGTAAAAAACAAAAACCTCTCTGAACTTTGTTCTACTGCTCCCAATTCATAGTAGTTTTAGATACCAGCACAACTGCCCATGTAGAAGATAACTTCAGGCATTGCATTTTCAAGATGAGAGATGAGAATCTAACTGTAAAATTCTCATCTATATCAGTATAGTAGATACATAGTGCTGCTATTGAAGTGCATAGGTAATTGTTTTTATCAGTGTTGGGGGGGGGAAATCACTGGCACAGATTTCCCCCCCCCCCAAAAAAAACCCCCAAAACACACCAAGCAAAGTCCCTTACATTCCTCATTTCCCAAAATGATTTTCAGAAGCTGCAGGAGCTCCAACTCCCCAAGAGCTCATTTAATTTGAATGTTCTACTACTCGATGCCATAGGTATACTGACGTGTGCAGTGAGCACAAGGGAGGGGTAACTCAGAAAGTAAAAAGTTTGTGGGAATAAGAATTTGCAAGGCAGAAAAAAAAAGAAATAGGAACAACATAGATACAAACAAAATCCAACTTGCAGAAAAGTCAGTGGTTTTCAATCATTGGGAGTGCACTTGTCCCCAGTGAGAATACAGATACAAATATAGGAATTTTAACTTGCCAAATGGACTGTGTTTCAGTTCAAAGAGATAAAGAAGTACACCTTTCAAATATTGTTTCTGACACACCAAGCCTGTGTCAGATCCATGAAGGGCTTCACAGCAAACAGATAAATTTCCTGAGACACTGTTCTTTGCATCACTCAGGTAAGGCTGTATTTTATTTGACCGTCAAACAAGAATTGGAGTTATATTTATGCAGTTGCTTATTTCTCTCCCTCTTTTAAACACAGTGAACAAATATCAAGAGACTGAACATTTTGCTATGGAAAACGTCTCACAACAGCTACATCTCAACTTCATTTTCAGCTAAGCCAGCCTAAATCCACAGCAGCTCTGTTTCAATTAATAGAATGTCTACAGCTCTTACAGTTATTTAGAGAGAAGCCTGTGATCCTACAACTCCAGCTGCACTCTTGCCATCTTTCCCCAAGAGCTCATTTAATTTGAATGTTCTACTACTCGATGCCATAGGTATACTGACGTGTGCAGTGAGCACAAGGGAGGGGTAACAAGCTGTACAATTCCAACAGTAGCATTTTTTTTTCACATGTGGGAATGACTTAGCCAAGGTGCAAAGTATCAGGGAACTAGACCCCTATTTGCCAAGAATATTGTTGGTACCTAGAACTCCCACCACAGCCCCAAGACATTTCTAAAATCCACACTGCAGGTAGAGTTCAGGCATTTCTATTCAGTGTCCTTCAGTCCCAAATATGTTGCATCTTCCACCATTGCTACCAACAGAATCAAATCACAGCTACTAACCACCAGCACGATGGTGCGAATACAGTTATGGTTACCCCATGTAGGGTCTGATTTTACAGCCCTTGGACAGGAATGCTGCTGACAAAGATAGAGGGTACATCTACACATGCATTAATGCACCTTTTCTAATGCACATTAGATTTAGTATCTCCCATGAGAGGTACTACCAAATTAATGCACATTAGGATGTGCTGATGCACAATAGCACATTTGCATGCTTTTTAGTGACAGCATGCAATAGACTTACTGTGCATTAGTACAGAGTCATGGTTTTTTACATGACACTTCAATGTGCAGTAAAATAGTCTACTACGTATTAAAGTGCATATATAGACATGTCCTGAATTTTTCATCCCTATATGGGCCACAGAGCCTGACATAAGCATTCCAAAAACAGCATAGCACAGAAGAAGTATTTCAACCACCTTGGGTACACACCGTAGCTGTTCTGCCAGTATTTTTAGCACCCAGAACTACTCAAAATAAAGTCTGTCTGCAGCAGGCTCCTATGTCTTTGGCACCTGGTGCAGTCTTGCCTCCATTCTCCCTCTGGAGCAGTGTGTCCAGTTGCAGGGTTCATTTGGGAATTCTTGGAATTTCTGGTTTTCTGGCCAGAGCCAAGCCTCCATGGCTTTTTGGGTGAAAGGAGCAAGGTGTCCCAAACAAACCCATACCTTCCTCTCCATACTAGGGGCATTCAGGGAAGAACACTCCTGCTTCTAGAAGGCTCTGTCTTGAGCCTACTCAAGACTCAGGCCGAGGCCTCTACTGTGTTGTTGTATGACTTTCTCTCACTTCCAGGGTCCGGGTCTACCTCTACACCCCTTTACCAACTTTTTCCATTACCCTTCCTGGGCTGTCCCTCAGCTCTCCTAGTGCACAGTATGCTACAGACTTGCTTGCTCTCTTGCTTTGAATGAAGACTACTCAACCACAAAAACCCTCTCTGCAATTCTTCCTTCTGAGAATTAGACCTCCCAGAATCCCTTTGTTCTCTAATGAGCCAAGGCCAAGACAGGCTTAGCCACTTGCCCCCTTAAGGGCCAGCAGGCAGTGTTACATTACCGTAGGTGTGACCTTTAGGAAACATATCCTGAGCAGGTGTGTGTGTGTGTGACCCCATTAACTTTACCAGAGCTATGTCTATTGAAATAATGCTAACTCAGGCTTGGGTCCTTTTTTGCATAATACAATTAGCTTGCTCACAATTATAGTATTTAACTATCACTTTGTCAGCTAACCTTTGCTAATATTAAGGGTGTTCAACAATGAAGTAGTCACCATTTTGAGTCTGTTTCTGGTTTTCAGAAAGCTGTTATTTTTCTGATTCATAATTTAAAAGGCAAATGCAAGAGATTGGGAGAGGAGGTTTTTAGAATAAAACATTGAAAATGGCTTGACTACATTCCTCAGTAATTTTTACATGTCCTTTTATTCACGTGAAACAAAGGCTTCTACCAGGGAGATTGAAGGCTCCTGCAAAATGAATTCAATTTAAGCTTGCCCTTTGGAAGTACTGTCAAGTCATTTCCTGTGCTTTTGAAATAAAGGCCTCCAGTGGAAATGTTCAGCAGCTACTGCATATTTCTATGTGGTTTCTTTGTAGTATTGAACCTTCAGCAACTTGCACAGAAAGCAGCTATTTTAGAGCACACTCTTAATAGACACACATTAAAAATATCTCTTAACTGTGTTGAAGCCCAGGAGACTGAAAACAAAGAAGCTACTGCTCCTAAGTACCATCTCCTTAATGGTGAAGTAATGCAGGAGGAAGCATCTGCAGGTAGTAAGTGAGGGTTTGAGGTCCTGAAATATTTTATGCATCAGGATTTTAACTCTCCTTGTCATTTTGTCCGTCAATGTAATGAGTGATAAAATATCCTCTTTAGCAGTCTTAAGGGGACAGTTCCCTCCTGTTTAATCCTTGTTGTGTTTTTCACTCTGCCTGTCATTACTGCACCTACAACTTGATTTTCTTGAGGAGACCCTGTTTTGTTAACACCCTCTCAATTATACAGGGAGAAAAATGGTTTTCATGTATGCATGCAAGAGAGTACCAATGATATCAACCAAATGGAGTGTCAAGGAGGAATAAGTAAAAACTTGTCTGGATCAGAGCTTGGGGAAGGAAGCTTGAAGCTAGGTTTTTGTTTTACAAAACCTTGTCCTATTTGGAAAACAGAGGGTGGTTTAGGGTCTAAGTGACCAAAGTTCAGCTGTGGTGGTGGTGAATGGGGTGAGAGGGAGTACAGATAAACATTTCACTTGTGGGAATCAAGGTATTTTTAAATTCTGCTTTGTAAACCCTCTTCAGTTAAGACTTAGCCCAAGGTTGGACTGGGTTCCCCCCTATTCAGAAATGAGCTGAATGAGTATGGTCTGGGGTCTCGTCTGCAGGGTGAATGAAAGGAGAATATTAAACCAACATGAGACTTGAGACCATGGAAGTCTTAACACAGACATTGTACTGGGCCCCATAGTTCCCTGTACCGTTTTTCTTCAGTAAGGCTTGCCTTACTTTAGCTTGATAACTGTTGATATCTGTGGTGCAGGAGTGGATCCTTCAAATGTCAGTTAATGGGACTAAAGGATTTAGTTCATTTCAAAAGCAAAGAGACAACCTTGAACTACTGTGGCTTGTAGCAAAGTGTTTAATAAAGTACAGTATCAGAAACAATATTCTAATAGAAAAACTTGTAACATGAATACTGTATATTTTGTACTTGTTACACCTATCTGTGAACCTTCAGACTGTGAAAGATATTTGATGTATCTAGCAGAAATACAAACAACAACATAGAAAAGAATTGTCTGTGATAGGAAAACTAGTGATGTTCAGGGATGGAAAATATTTTCCCTATTTGTTAATAGATAAAATGCTGGCAGAGTATGGCCTGCTGATCACCACCAAGCATTGGTAACCAACATCCAATTGGCAATGTACTGTGTTGCCTTTCCCAAATAGATATGAAGCCAGTGCTACACATAGCTCCGATTAGTCATGGTGACCTTCATTTAATACAAGCCACAGCCTTTCTGCAGGTCAGGAAGGTGCATCAGGCTGGCCCTGTCTTTCTTGTCATGTTATTTTATGAGAGGTGATATAACTGATAGAACTTGACTTTATGTTCCACCAATCAAGCCAGCACTCAAAACATTCAAATAATAAGCTTGGCTGGCTTGTCAGGGTGAGAAACAAATCCAGCTTGAAAAACACTGCCTTAAAATGCTTTTATACTCACCGAAGTGCTTACCCTGTTCTTCAGGTTTTACTTGTGGTGACTTAAATAGGACTACACCTGTGAGTAACCAATACTGAGCAGAAGTAACAGCTGCAGAATTGGCTCAAATTCAAAATATTCTGCACTGGAGCCAGTTGAAGGCAAGACTTACATTTTTGGAAAATGTAAAAAAAAAAAAAAAAAATCACTTTTTAATTGAAATTTTGCAAAAGTTCAATGACTTTTTTGGAACTGTGATGTGTAAGCATTTTAGAGCAGCTCTAGTGAAGACACCAGTCTCACGTTGGCTGAGTGATTTAGCCTTTTTTTATAATATCAGACCCTTGTACAGACTCCTGACAGGACCTCAACCCTTGAAAGAAAAAAAAAACATTAAAAATAATCTATAACTCAATATATTAATGGAGGTAGAAAAATTTAAGAAGAAGGAAGGAAGGAAGGAGAAAAAATGAGCAGCTGTTGGGGAAAAGAAGAGAGAGGCTCTGACATTAAAAGATAAAGTGCTTATACCTCCCAGATTAAAACTGACAGCCCTGATGTCTCAGAAAGCCAAATGGAATTTAATATTTCCAGTTTATTTTTCAAATAAGACAATGAATTGACCCCACAACTACTGATGAGAGGGTAATGGATTTTGAAACCCATACAGAGGAAGAAGGGGCTAAATTGTCTAGGGAAACTTAGAGAAAGGATGAGAAGAAAACAAAGATCATATGCTTCTGCAAGGAAATGTATTCTGCAGCCAAAGGTTACATCACCTATGTTTCCCAACATTCTTTTGAAGTGGTTTTACTCCGTTCCCACTAGTGACCCCTGTTACTTCCTAATTACTCATGTCCAGGTGTGTGGAAGCAGGCTCTGCTGTGCTGCTTATATCCCTGAAGGCACTTGCCCACCCACATACCACTTAGCCTTTGATCGTAAAGACTGTTAAAGCTTATCGCTGTCATGTCCAATTGATGTTTGCAGGTGGTAATGTTTTGTAGGATGAAAATCTTTTGTCCTTATTTACAAGAGTGGTAGGAAAATAAGGAGGTAAGTAGTCTCTTTTGTGACATGATCACAATTTTGGGTTGGGCAGAAGTACGTTCCCTCCACAAGGCAAGGATTTACCTGTAGTCAGGTTACCTGACCTAAGCAATCACAGCACACCTTGGATTTTAGCAGTAATGTCAAATGGGTGATAAGCTCAAGCAGTAAAGACGAGGGCAGGGAACTGGACTTCCTCTGGAGCCAGAACTCAGTCCTGCTCAAGGTAAGATTCACCACCACTCCCATCTTCCAGAACCAAGGCAAATCTAATTTCTTTGCCTCAGCTTTCCCTCCACAAATTCTTCACATAGACAACTCACCCACTTGTATTGAATCACAAAATGTCCTTAAAACCTAATCCTTATAAATCCTATAAACCGAGAAGGAGGAAGAGGAACTCTATTTTCTTGTTATTTCTATATTGGAATCCTTGAGAGGCTCTAAAACATTATGCTGTTGGTGGCCACATGGAAGCAAGAGACATATTTCCCCATAGTGCCAAAGTATACAGTACTGCCCAGTGCAGGTCAGAGGTCAGCGAGTAGTCCTACAACTCCCACTCAAGTCCATTTGAAAATTAGGCTGCATGTTCCTAAGCACATCACACCTCTAACTGCAAGTTTCTTCCATCATCATTTGATTTGCTTTATATTTTTTCTTAGAAATTAACAGCTATTTACAGGCTAGTTAGTCAAGAATTCAGCTGTTTATACATGCACAAAAAACAAATAGTATCAAAAGAGTGCACAAAAGACCTACTAATGGTGTCAATGCCTCTGCTGTAGTTAACTGGAAACACTGAGAAAACAACTCTCCCTTAATCACCTGTCAGAGGCAATTGCAGTGTCAGATGAGCATTAGCTAGTTAATAGCCATATATGAAAGGAGGGGCAATACTGAATGCACAAATACAAACATGGACATCAAAAGTAATACTAGTCCAGTGACTTAAGACCAAAACATTGTAGGCATGAAATATAAGACTAATGAAAAGTTTAATATGTAAATTATTTCAAATATTTATTTGGAGAACTATTAACTGGAATTCATTGTCTAATAATGCCCTTTACAAGTACATATAGTAGCATCTATGGAAAACTAATGTACTGGGAACAAACAGTCGCATTAAAACAGTTTTCCTACAAAATCTACTAGTTTATCTACTGGGGCAAATCAATGCAAACTGTAAGTCAAGGGAATGTTATGTGAATATTTACCCTGTTAAATATAAATTGGATATCAGAATTTGGCCATGGGGATGTTTTTTATGTAGGAAAGTACAGTGTGCAGTCAGTGCACATTTGTGTGTAGAAAAGATTCAGTACGATGCAAACAGAGCACTTTCTAATGATATCTTCAAAATAACAGATTTTAGGTCACTGAGCTAGGAGTGGGTGAAGCTATCCTATAGTTTCCTAAGTGTTCAGCAGACACCATTCTTCCTGTGTTTTTACAGGCTGCTATATATGCGCTTGATCACATCTGCCTCTTCTTTGTCCAGGATGCCTTTGTCCACGTAAGCATCTGCTTGCTCATCAATGAAGTCTCGCAGTTTGGAAAGATCATAATCTGGAAAACATAAATTCATTAACACAATGAGCCTTTGTCACAAAAACATTCAGCTATGAAAGACTATAAATATTTACACTGTAAATATTACCTATCCAGTCCAAGAAAAAAGTGGGATTCACTACAAGTAAGACTTGTCACAACAATAAAAGCTGCCTCTGCCCAAAGCCCTGAGAATGCAGCCAGTATTATTCATCTGCCTTTCATGCTTAGTAATTGTTTTTCCCCCCCAAGGGCAGAGATTTAGTGTGCTGGAAGACTGTACGCAGAAGCCCTTAAGACCCTATTATTTTTACAGTTTTATGTTTTTCACAGAAAAAGCTAAATTGACCATCTCCTATTTGTAAACCCCCCCCTCCAAAACCTCACAGAATTTTTTAAGTTCAACTTTCTTCCACTTTTTCACTTCCTATCAACATCCCTTACTGAGAACTGACAAGAAATTTAAGAAATGAGCTCACTGAAATTGACTGGAAAGGATATAATTATTCAGCTTTGACAGGTTAGAGCAGAATATTTTCCTGATTTTAAAAATATTGCAATGAGTTGTCCTTACGTGCCAATCGCTAGTACAAGCATTGAATTATCCTTTTAATGTTATGCTGCACTGTTAAATGATAAAAGCAGGTGCATAAAACAAGTGAATATGCAATTGTAAAACATAATATAGCCTGAACTCAACTAAACAAAACGTTCCTATGGGGAATAATGTCATTGTTTTCCATGAAAAGGCACTAATCCTACAAAGGAAGGTGAAAAGCTTGCCCTGAAGAACCAATGGACAAATTTAACTCTGACAATAGCTTTAATATACTAATACACACACACATGCAAGCTTTCATTTATGTAATTTCTGCATAAACTTTAATGCCAGATTTGGAACAATCCCTACCCAGCACGGAGGAGCAGCCTTGAGAATCCCAAAGTTTGAAATGTTTAGGCTAATCTTAATATTTTTCATATAAATGTGTTAGTGTTTGGTTTTTACTGCATGAATGATTTATTCCATAGACAGGGCCACAATAAAAAAAAATTGTGATTTGTTTAAATACGTATTATCATAAAAATATGAATTAAAGATTTCTTCCTCAAACTGTACGCTATTTACACAATAGACCATAATAGCTTTTTCTACCTTGGTATGGCTGAATGCACAAGGATGGACAATGTGCAGAGAGGCATTATAAAGCAGACTGATTTATTCAATAGATTTTTATAATAATAATAGAAGCCATGGCAATTACAAGTGATGGGCTAACAGGGCCACAAAAAAGGGACTAGCCTTTTGGACTCCTAGACTGATATTCTGGCCCCATGGAAATCGATAGGAGTTTTGCCATTCATATTAATGCAGTCAAGGTTTCACTCCTGGTCTGTTACTGATTTTTCGGTGAGTCAATAAATTAATGTATCTGCCCCCTCAATGAACCCATCCACCCAATAATAGGATGATAATATTTACCTAGTTAATAGAAGTACTGTGAAGTTTTATTAAAGTTTGGAAAATGTTTTTAGATTCTCAGATAAAAGGTACCAAGACAGTGCAAATTATAAGCATGTTATTTATATATTATAATTTATAAATAACCATTTCTGCTAGCTACAAACTTTTCCCTTTTCATCATGAACATATTAGTGTGGCTCTAAGTTGCAATCTACCTGTGACCACCCTGGCACTTAACTAAATCAGATGGATGAATACTTCATAACCTTGGCTTGCAGTAAAGTGAGAATACAGAAAGGACACAATTACAGAGAATTTTCTGGAGAAATAAAAGTAAAGTATCAGAAGAAGTAAATTTGAAGATGTCTGGTGAAGCCCCAATGCTTAGATCAAAGGGCCAAAGGCAGCCTTCCTTTAAAAGTAGCATGACTCTGATGAAGTTTCACCAGAGCTGAATGAGACTCACAGATATCAGTTAACATGGGAGGCCAGAGGTAGAACATATTCTCCTTTTATGTGGAACAAATTACTGGCAGTAACTGAATAAATATAAAAGGGAACTGGTGCCCAGGTAGCATGAATTTCACATTTGTATTGGGTTTCAATGCTAAATTCCACATCCATCTTCTCAGAAACGGCACTTGATTACCATAAAATATTTAACGAGGTCAAAGAAGAGTGGACTACTTTGCATATATTTACAGCTACAAATTGAAAAGTACCAGAGGAAAAAGCCTGAATTTAAGAAAAAAATGTGTGTCATATTCTTGGAAAATATAGCATAAAATTAAAGATATGATCAATGAATCCAATCATTGCTTTCGCATAATCTCCAGTGAGGTCAGTAGAATCACTGTGCATGTAAAAGACAGTGGAATTAGGTATTTGAGTACTATATTCTCCAAAGCTAGGGACAGACATTCAAAAAGCCTGAGCTTGAATTGATTCAATCTTTGCAGGTTAGTCTAACCTGGCTAGGCTAAATCAGTTTTGTAACCACACGGACATCCTAGAAATGCAGGCACGTGCCTACAGTGGCTCAAGCTAGAAGCTGGGGGGTGCTAGAGCAGTCCTCCCTTCCCTTGCCCAGGGCTGAGCTGGGGGGGGGGGGGGGGGGGGGGCCGTGGCCAGGCCGGGGCAGGATGCTCTGATTAGGGAAGGGTACCCCCTTCTGACCAGCCCAGCAGGGAATTGATAACAGTGTTTATCACCCCAAACTCAGTATTAATCACCCAAGTAAGAAAACAATAGAGGGACATTACAAGCTATTTGTTGGTTCTGCCTTTGTCCCGTCTGCCACAGCACGGACTGTAGCTAGTATGTGGTCTGCTAGCTAATGCTGTGTGTCTGTGTAAGGCAGAGGGGACGGGGCAATCCCTGCTTATCAGGGAGTGGGGAGTGGAAGGGGAGTGGGGAGCAGGGGGAAGCCAGGCCGATGCCTTCAGTCTCTGCTGAGCTTCAGCCAGGGAGCAGAGTGGAGGGGCCAGCTCTACTGTGGAGCAGAGAGCCCCGCCCAGCCCTGAGAGCATGCTGGGATGCTGGGGGAGTCTGGTTTAACTTAAATCAGGAAGGGGTCTGGGACAGACATTACATAAACCGGTTTGACCCAAATCAGTTAAGTCTGATACTACATCCAGCCAGGTTTATCGCAAACTGGTTTCAGCCATTTTCAAGCTGGTTTATATGCACTGAACATCTGTTCTGTTACAGGTTTAAACCCGTTTCTGATCACTTAAACCAGTTTATGTGTAATGTCTGTCCTTAGCAAGAGTGAAGGCATACCCTTCACTCTTGCCAAGCTGTGCTTTGTTCAAGACTTGCTGGGATAAGAAAAGGTGGTTTCAAACCAGTCTCCAGGATCTCCTGCTCATGGGACCTTGCAGGAACTATTTAGTTCCCAGTACGAGAGAGCTGAACAGACCAACCTGGTTGCCTTCTACGACCAGGTGACAAAATCCTTGGACACAGATGTCGCAGTGAACATAGTCTTTCTGGACTTTAGGAAGGCCTTCAACACTGTCTCTCACCCCATTCTCATTAAAAAATTAGGCGACTGTGGTATTGATGCCTACACAGTCAGATGGGTCGCAAATTGGCTGGAAGGCTGCACCCAGAGAGTGGTGGTGGATGGGTCATTTTCAACCTGGAGGGATGTGGCCAGTGGAGTCCCCCAGGGCTCGGTCCTCGGGCCCTCACTGTTCAACATCTTCATCAGCAACTTGGACGAGGGGGTGAAAAACACCTTGTTCAAATTCGCAGATGACACTAACGTGGGGAGAAGTGGGCACGCTAGAGGAGAGGGACAGGCTGCAACTAGGTCTGGACAGGTTACAGGGGTGGGTGGATGAGAACAGGATGGGTTTCAATACTGACAAGTGCAAGGTATTGCACCTGGGGAGGAGGAACCAGAAGCATACCTACAGGCTGGGGAACTCTCTTCTCATTAGCACAGAATCAGAAAAGGATCTTGGAGTCATTATTGATTTCAAGATGAACATGGGCTGCCAATGTGAGGATGCCATCAGGAAGGCCAACCACACCTTGCCATGCATCCACAGATGCATCACGAGTAGGTCCAAGGAGGTGATCCTCCTCCTCTATGTGACACTGGTCAGGCTGCAGTTGGAGTACTGGAGTACCAGTACTGGGTGCCGCATTTCAGGAGGGATGTGGCCAGCATCGAGAGGGTTCAGAGGAGGGCCACTCACATGATCAGGGGGCAGCAGGGCAGGCCCTACAAGTGGAGGCTACTGGACCTGAACCTGTTCAGCCTCCACAAGAGAAGGCTGAAAGGGGATCTGGTGGCCATCTATAAACTGGCCAAGGGGGACCAGCAGGCAATGGGAGAGTCCCTGTGACCCCGAGCACTACCGGGAGTAACAAGGAATAACGGCCATAAATTGACTGAGAGTAGATTCAGACTAGACATCAGGAAGCACTACTTCACTGTCAGGGCGGTTAGGATCTGGAACCAACTTCCAAGGGAAGTGGTGCTGGCTCCTACCCTGGGGGTCTCCAAAAGGAGGCTGGATAATCACCTAGCTGGGGTCATTTGACCCCTGCATTCTTTTCTGCCCAGGGCAGGGGGTCAGACTTGATGATCTGCTCAGGTCCCTTCCGACTCTACCAACTATGAAACTATGAACACATCCTCAAGGGCCACACACTTCAGCTTTATGAGCCACCCATTGATTTGAGTGGGAAGTTTGCTTGGCTAAAGGCACCAGGCACTAATTTGATTAGTACAATATATGTCTCCAAAATCTGCGCTCACTTTTACATTAGTATTTGCAACTGCAGGATCACTTGCATAGACTGTGGTTTCAATTACTAGGGAATAAATGCAAATTTAAAAAACTACTTTAGGATGTTATCCTACTTTGACTAATTTGCATATGTGAAATGGCAACATTGTTGCATTTTTCTCTAAGAAAAATGTCTGTTATGTGATGCGTCTAATTACAGTAATATTCTGTTACTTGTTTAGGGCAAGTTGACCGAAACAAGTAAATAAAAAAATCTGCTTTCATTTATATTCACCTACAACATCTGAAACATTACACTGAACTACAAACTAGCTGCTTTATATTTAAAATGAAGCATATTTGCATATTCAAATCAACCCAGTTGCCAGTAAAACCTGAAAAATGTAAAAGTAATCCTAGAATTTCTTTTTACTCACGAATGGTGAGTGTGGGTGTTATGAAACTTGATGGCTATGTCACCACCTAAGTATTTTTGCGAGCAATTCCAAATTTGTGGTTTTACAAGTGTTAATTAGGTACCTCACAGTTATATTCTCTGGAGACTGAAAATACAGAAGATGAAACATGGCAACACAACCCTAAGGGCTGGGAAGTATGCCAATTTATATCAGCAGATAAGCTGTTTTTTCAGAGTATTGGTTTAAAAAAAGGATGGGTCATTCAAAATAAAGGCTTGATTCATCAGTACATTACTTGTATTCCAAGCTGGTGTAACTCCATTGATTTGAGAACTCATGCCAGGATTGAGTACAGCATGAATGGCTCCACAGAGGAGAGGAGATATTCTTGCCATTTTCTTTTGCTGACCAAACTTTGGGCACAGAAGAGAATCAGGCTAAAATGTAGATTTTAAAATAATTTGTATTTTGGGGTCTAATGGCCACCTGGTTCATGTAAGATTGCTTCTGCTGTCTGATGGGACAGCAGATTTTTTAAGAAGGAGAATAACAATGGCAAATAAGCCCTCCCAGTGCAGAGTTTTGGATGACTCACTATTTCTGTTAAAGGTTATACATTCAGGATTTGCAAAGAGATTTCCTAAAGGAACCAGAGCTCACTCAAATACAGCCAATGAGTAATACAGTTTGGAGAGAAATGGCCAAGTGTATGGGAATCACTTTTTTTATTTTTCCACCAGCTTCCAGTAGAAAAGTGATTGACAAACACATGAAGTAGCGCGTAATCCTGAAGTGAAGCATAGAGTAAATTTATTCTGGTTGTACCACTTTTCACACTACTGCCAGGTTTCCCAATAAAAGCTTGCAAGAATAAAATGCATAGCAGGGGAAGGACAAAGGTTATAAAAGCATAAAGGGGTTAAACTTTTATTCTCATTTACTTATAATTTACACCCACTTGAAGGCCACCTCACTCTGCTAGAGGCAAGGAGAGAGACATTAATATTAAAGAGAATCAGGCCCTTGTAGTATCAAGTATCATGATGTTCAAGATGCCACAGGGAATCCATTTACTTAGGGAATTAACATCATGTCTTACTGCTTTCACAGCAAAACAGACAAAATGCTATTGTATTTGTAGTTACAGTCATTTTCAGTCTTTGGTAATACTGAGGAAAAGGTTACTTTGAAGAGGAGAGGGGGCTTGTAGAGAATATGGGAAACAGAGGGAATAATCATGTGTGACTGAGCACTAATTACTATAATGAACACACTGATAAATAGAAATATTTATTAGAATTGGCAGGAAAAGTCTGTAGCAATATGTAAGCCTGTCATCAACTGCAGCTGTTGTTATGAGTTGGGGGGATAGGATTTGAGGATGAAAGAAGGAGCTATAGAGTATAGGAAAGCCGGGAATGGAAGGTCATGGTGTTTAGTTCAAATCTCCTGTCACTAAGTTTCTCTGAAGAAAAATGTGTGAAGCAGCAGACACATCCTTACTGCTGACATGTGCCCACCTTACATTTTATCACACACAAGAGCCAGCTAGACAATGTGGAGGGAACATAGTCTCCCCTCCCCTTCTTGGCTGTGCAAAGAGAGCTTGCTTTCTCTTCAAGGGGCTTTAGCCACTCCTTCTGCCTCATCCTCCCTCCCAAAACCTGTGGATTGTCCTAACCTGTATTACAGATGTCTAACTAACAGTTCCAGGACAGGGCAGAGACAAGCTGGGATCCTGGTTCAGTGCAACACCTTGAGTGTGGAGATGACTCGAACAAGCCAGGATCTGCAGAAAGTGACTCCTGTAGATTCTGCAATTCATACCATTGCATCTTGCATCCTTTCCCCCTCAGCTTTTCCACACTCTTGGCAGCTCCACTTCCCTGCAGTGATGACGTTTTGGAGCAACAGGCCAAACAGGCTGGTGGAGTTGGTTCAGCTTTATACACGACTTTACATGCAAAAAGTGTAAAGTGTAGAGCCCACTGCAAAACTTTGTTATTATTCTCTGGTGTTTGTGAAGGAATGGGAAGATCTGGAAGGTGGCAGGGTTGTTTCCTGCTCACTTACATATTTTGGATTTGAAGACCAGCCTGGGCAGCATAATTATTATGTCAGTATGTTATGATCTGCAGTGTGTTGTTATATTAGGTTAATCATTATGCAGTGATTTTAAACATCTCTATAATATATGCCCATATTTATTTTTTAAAGATAACCTGTTTGGTCCTAGACTACTTAACAATGACCCTAAGCATCACTATTTATTATGCAGTAACCCACACGTGCATTTCACATTCTGTTTTAGTTGTTCAATGCATTTTATCAGGCTAATATTAATCATGTGTTTTTAAGGTGCTTCCTAATTAAAAGAGCATCCACTCCAAGCTACAAGTTTGTTCACTTCATACCTTCTTTAGGTGCCTGCTTGCTGTGCTTCTTTAGCCATTCAATGTTCTTCCTGATTGCCTCCAAATATGCTTCAGCTTTCCCTGGAGATACAGATGAGAGAGAAATCAAATGCTAACCATCAATGATTGATAGAGCTTGTTTAACTGTGAGACCTTGATTACAATTAAAGACAGATTAAAATTATTCATAGTTTCTGCTGAAGAGTCCAACCTGTCCTCCTTGCTCAGACAAAGTTCCCATCAATGGTGAACAGGTTCCGTCTGTAAAAGGTTAGCCAGATGTGACACACACTTAGGGTAATATCCTTTCCTTTGGTTCATGTGCATAA